CCAGCCACCAACTTCTCCTTCACCGTCCTCCGCCTGCTCCTCCTCTCTCCTCCCTCTTCTCTCCTCAACCCCTCTCATTTCCCATGAGGCTCAGCGTTGTGTTTCAAGTGTACAATCTTTTTTTTTCCAGCTTTAGGCTTTTCTCTGATCCACTTCCTCCCCCTGTCGTACTCCCCAGCTTCACTCACCCCTCCTCTCCTCCCTCTCTGCCCTTTCCTCTCTCTCTCTCTGTCTGTCTCTGTCTCTCTCTCTCTCTTCTGTGTCTCTTGCTGTGTCAGGATCCCAGTTGTTAACCTCTGAGCTGACACTCTCTCCATCTGGTAAACATTTGGCGGCGGCCTGTGGCGGAGCATCAACACGGCCGGAGGACGTTCAGTCCACAGTCTGGTTGGTGGGTTCCAGGATCCCAGGTCTCCAGCTGAAAGTCATTGGCTTCCCTCAGATATTACCCCCCCCGACCCCCCCCAAAACACAAAATCCTGTTTGTTGAGCGTCATCTTCCCGAGTGTCCCTGAGACGCAGACACCTCCTCCTCCTCCTCCTCCTCCTCCGGCTCTGAGGAGCAGCTGATCGCCCTGCGCTCTCAGCCCGACGTGACTAATTGACAAAGAAGCCGTTAAACCGCTGCGCGGCATCACATTAGCTCCACGACAGCCTCGAAACATCCGACCTGTGCGTCGACGGCGGCGATTCATCTGAACGCGTGACGCCGTCAACGCTATCTCCAGACGAACAGACTGTTGTTCTGTGATGGACCAGCTCCGCCCCCGCCTCCTCTCAGCATCTTCAAACACATTATGGGATATTTCGCCCGGCGTCAGCCAACAGGCGATGAGTTTAACACGTCACGCTCCAAAAACCTGCTTTTGTTCCCCGCCCCAGATGTTTGGACCGCTTGAGTCTGGCTTCGTCCTCCGACTGTTACGTCCTCGGCTGCGTCTCCGTTCTTTCCTCCTGATTTGTTCTCTTAATTATCTGCCTGTTGTTTATCCCACTGTTGAGCCTCTGCCCCCCCCCCCCCCCCCCGCCCCCCCACCCTCCCGCGTCGCGAACAGCAC